CTATTAAACTTAGTAAAATAACTCCACAGTCTCAGTTTTACTGAGAAAATTTAGTAATAACTGCTATTGTAGCTTCAGTTTTACTAAGAAAACTTAGTAAAAACTGCCATTGCAACTTCAGTTTATTAAGAAACTTAGTAATAACCGCTATTGTGGCTTCAGTTTACTAAGAAAACTTAGTAATAACCACCATCGCGGCTTCAGTTTATTAAGAAAACTTAGTAATAACAACCATCGCGGCTTCAGTTTTACTAAGAAAACTTAGTAAAAACTTCCATCTCAACTTCGTAACCATTTTATTATTAAAAAATGTTTCCAAAATCACGAAAGCGTTTTTTACTATATTTTTTAGTAAAATAACATCTCTGAAAGTTGTGAAGGCATTTTTTATATGTTTTTCTTAGTAAATAAGGCATTTTCGAAGCTGTAAAGGCACTTTTTACTATGTTTTTCTTAGTAAAAAGGCATTTTCAAAGCTGCGGATGCACTTTTTACTATAGTTTTCTTAGTAAGAATCATTCCTGAAGCTTTGGAGATGGCTTTACTATTGATTCGAATCAAATCAAATGTTTGATTACTTGATTTGAATTTGATTAAATAAATCATTCTTTGATTTGAATTTGATCAAATTAAATATTCAAATATCAAATCGAATTGCAGAACCCTAATTATAATTAATCTTCACTTTAAACTTTTACCTAATTCATCTAAACTTTTTTTGATATTTATTTAGAAGCTATCAAAGACCAATTAAGAACTTTTAAAAAATACAACATTTTCTTGCGGTATTTTCCAACGATTGGGTCAAGAAAAGAAACAAAAAATTTGATTTTAAAAAAACAACCATTTCTACTCAATTATTAAAATTATTCTAAGATCAATGGAAAATAATAAGGATTAGTAAAATTAAATTCTGCAGATTCTGCAGTATATTATTTATTAAAAAAAATAATAATAATAAAAATAATGCTTTAATAGCAAGACTAACATTTTATTAAATAAAATAATTAAATAACTCATTTTATTAGATATTAATTTGAGCCTGAGTCACTATCAAAATAAAAAAATATTTATGATTAAATATTCAAATATTATTAATAGATTAATAGATTTTGACAAAAATAACTAATTTATATTAATAAATGATTGGCTCAGATGTCAGATGATCCTTTTTTTTGGTGATTAACTATTAATTTTCAAAATTGCAAGCAAATTTGCCTGAAAAACCATTAAGGAAATAAATTATTTTACAGTTACAAAATAAGTCATACATCCTTATTTGTAAATTATTTATTAAATTAAGTGTTTAGCTAATAAGTTAGATTTAGAGTTAGGATTAGTTTTTAGAATTAGGATTCGTGATTAGAGTTAGAGTTAGGATTTGGATTAGGTTAGGATTAGGTTAGGTTATTTTATTCATCAACCCTAACGAGTTAGGGTTAGATTAGGATTAGGTTGGTTTATTAATCAATCACAATGAGTTAGGGTTAGATTAGGATTAGGTTGATTTATTAATCTATATTAATAAATTCATATATGATATTTAATTTTAAATTTATATTTATTTAAATTTTACTAAATAAATTTGAAAGTAATTAGAATTTTTACGTTACGTTGGCGAACCCCGGGGCATCGCCTGGGTAGAATTGCTAGTATCACTAATATTACTCTATTTCATTACGATTCAATTTGTGTAGGAGGTTATCACAATCAGAGTCTATATGAAGACACAAGGAAGGGTTGAAAGTATAAAAAGTATTTTTTTTATCATTATTTTAGAAGTCCGTAAGTTTATCACCACGACTTTTCAACGATCGGACTCTATTTTTTTTGTAAATAATTTTCCAGCATATATATACTAAATTGTAGACTACGCATTTTCGTAATAATAAATCATACAAATAATAATATACAATACAATGCTAAATATAAAATAGACAAATAAAATAATTAAATATATAAAATTAAGTTAAACTCCGAAACGTTACATATTTAACATAATCGCCGTATGATATGTATGCTATTCACTACATTTGCCGTAGTACGATTTTAACAGCAGTTTCGATCGTCGAAGTTAACACTGGTCTGAAAATGATTATTGTAATTAATTTAATCATTCTTGAAAATCGGGTTCTAAGGAAACTTTAACCTAAAATAAGATTTTTATTATTGTATTATATATGAACTATATTTAATTAAATCCACAAAAATTTAGAGGTGATCGACGAAAATGATTCGACTCAATATATTGTTTATTTGGCGTAATAATTTTTTTGATCAATTACTCAAAATCAATTTATCCGATTTTAATAGCACCCATATTGGAATGCTCTAAAAAAAGAATTACCGTCTTGAATTATATTTTATATATATATTGCTATTTTTTAATATATTATTGATGTATGTATGTTTATATGGAATGATCGGCCATTAAAAATTACATTACGCCATATAAAAAGGGGAAATTTTTTTTTTTGCTACATATCAAGGATTCTGATTTGCGATTTTTATTATAAACATGTTTAAAAGTAATTTCCTTCTCTCATTTTTAATAGCATCATTTATATTATTCTGCTATAATGAAGTATTTAGCATTGAGGTCATTGCTCGTACACAAATTGATTTTTCAAATGATCTTCCTAAAATTATGGAAGTTTATCTTACCGATGACTCTCCTAAAAATGTTATGATTGGATCCTTCTTTAGTGATAGGTATCATATTCAACCAATATTAGACATTTGTATAATATTAGTTGAAAGAGGTTATAATGTAAGTTTTTATGAAAATTCTAAGTGAATTAGTGAATTTCTTCTTTATAAAAATTATAACTTTTTCTCTCGCTTAAAGGCGATATTAGTGTCACCTGATAGCATTATTCCATCATTAGAATATCCAACCATCAAACATATACCTTTAGGTCTAAAAATCGATATCAACAAATTTAATCATCAAAAATATAAAGATATATTTAATATATATGAAAATATTGTTGTAGAATACAATATCGATTTGATTTGGTGTGATGTAGTGATGATAAATGGTGCTTGTTTAGATGTTGCTAATTTTTTTAACAAGCCTTTGATTGGATATGGAAGTTTTCCTCTAGGTAAAGGAAAAATTATATTTCCTTTAAAGATAGATAGATGGCGACTAACTTTTCTCTTGACGATTAGGATTTACACCGGTCGGTATTAAACCGAAACATGATCTTAACGCAAGATCAAAAGATTTGTATGAACTCGAGGTACATTTCTACTGATGTAATGTGTTATAAATACGATATTAATTAATTCTGATAAATGCTTTTAAGTTATCACAATATTTACCGCCAAGCATCTTGGTGAGTGCTTTCTACTTCCCTCAAGATAATTAAAACATATGCTAAAATCATTATTGTGTAAATCAGGAGATCGGATCATCGTTTCCGGATAAATATTCATCGCTCACACGAGAGCTTTCATCGTTTATAAATTCACATAATCAAGTTTTATGCGTGAATCTTGGCACGCAAATTTTCAAACCCTCGAATTACGACTTTATTTTGCAATCATTCATTGAAGCAATGAAAAATAATTTCATCAACGGTTTGAATTGGTCATTATCCAAAGCATCGATTGACGATTTCTCTGCCATTTTTAATCTCGTGGATGATGCAACAATTCAAAACTTTTCAACATTAAATAACGAATATCCTAATATATCATTTACATCAAAATTCACTATAAGCAACTACACCAATACCAAATTGTTCTTAAGTAATGGTGGCACGGAAAGTAGTTATGAATCTTTATATACAGCCACTCCAATGCTATTGATGCCAACGTGTGATGAAGGAATGAGAAACACAGAGAAAATCAATATAGCAGGTATTGGTGTTGAAGACATTTTAGAACGAATCAAATTTATGTTAAATGATGAACAAGTGAAAAAAAATGATAGAAGAATAGAATATCTAACTAAAATTACTAGCAAAAGAAAGTATATAACTGCTGATTTAATAGAATATATTTTGCATACAAGCGGAGAAAGTAACCGTGGAAAAATCTTAAAAGAGTCGAATACTGCGGATTTTCGAATAGGTTTTTATGCTACCTATGGAAATTTTATATTAGCCTTCGGACTTACTTGTATTGGTGGAATTTTATACATTATAATAAGAATATATATATTATGTCTAAGAATCATTGCATGATATGAATTAATAAATATAGTTGTTACCCTGGATGATTTGAGCGAAACTTGTTTATAACTATGATCATTGAACTTTATGACAACCAAAAGTGGTGAATTTATGATAACGAATTTCATTCAATTTATATGTGATACACAATTTTCGTTGACTTCAGAGTAAAAATCATTTAATTAATTTTTATTGATATAGAAGCTGGCTTTCGAAGTCCTCTATACTATAAAAAGCAATTTTTGGTGGATCACGATAATATGGGTGGTATGCTATTAAAATTGAGGTACAGACATAGTAAATCATATGATCCGTAATAGCCATATGGTTTAATGTCGAGTTACAAATGATTTTGAACTTTTTGAAATTTGACTAGAATTATTGAATTGTAAGAATTTGAATTATTTGATTATATTTTCTTTAGTTGCAGGAATTTGGTTTTTAATTTCGGTTTCTTAAAATTCATATAAACCTAATAATATATAAAATAAAATAAAATATTTATTTATTGAAACGTAGGATTTTCTGTCGTGTATTTGCCAATCAATTTGTCTCATGTTACATATTGCATGATGAGTCGTCGCACTAAAGATCATCTAATTACACGAAAACTTAAATATGGTGTAATCAATAAATTTCTCAATTATTAACTTTGTGAAAAAATTGTCATTGGTGAAAATGAAAATGTTAAAGAACAAAATGTTGAGAAAATTTTGTTTTAAAATACCCAACATTCCTCATTTTATTCATTTTTTTAATATTATTCATTATTAATAATTAAGATCCTCTTTCGGCTTGGATCACCTTTTTTTTTATTTTTAATGACCGGCCGGTGGCTTAAATACGGTAGTTGCATGATCTACCGAATGCATTTTTTTTCCTATCATTTTTTTTTCCTATCATTTCTTTTCTAAATATCAAATTAAAAAAAAAAGATTAAAATGCAAACTGCCAATAATTCAAATGAGTGGATTGAAAAATATATTTCAACAAAAGATATCAAATACTACGAATATGAACATTTTAGCAATTTTCAAGAGATTGGTACAGGCGGATTTGGAAAAGTCTATCGTGCAAATTGGAAAAATTCAAAACAACACTTTGCGTTAAAATCATTTCATTGCTGTAACAATGCCACTATTAAAGAACTTGTTCGTGAGGTAACTAATAAATGCAATATTGTATTTCTGTCTATTTAGTATAAAATAAATCATTTAAATCAATAATTTAGCTTGAACATCAACGAGAAGTTGATTTTCACTGCAATATCATCCGCCTTTTAGGGATTACAACATCAAATCAAGGTACAAAATTTTAAAATAATTAGGTTGATTACAGATAAATAAATATATTGAATTTTACATATATTTAACTCTTTAATTTATTATTAAAAACATAAAATAATTAGAACACCACCAAAATGATCAATTGAAAAAATATTGGTTAGTAATGGAATATGCTGATGGCGGTGCACTTAGAAACTATTTGAAGGATAATTTTGACAAGCTTGCTTGGGATGATAAATATAATTTGGCATTTCAGCTAGCTTCTGCTGTATCGTGTTTACATGGCGAAGGAATTGTACATCGTGATTTGGTAATATTTCT